TTCCGATAACGATCCACATCGTGTGTACATAGTTATTAAAAAATCAGGAGTCATGAGATTGTCGAAAATGAAAAATTATCTTTGAGTGTTTTTTACGATCAATCCAATTAATAACACAGAGACATGTGTGTATGTGTATTAGTGATTATGTATAATATACGTGTGGTGTACGTAAAACTTGACCTATTAATATTATCACAAATTCTTTGGTGAGACGGCCTAATCATTTGGCGGGTCGATCTATCATACTCCATGAACAAAACTGTTATACTATCAAATGTCATACTTTGTTACACTTCTGTTTATTATTATTTTTTTTTTTTTTTAAATGTATGACATTTTTAAAATTGTACACCTTTAATTATGCGATTTGTTAATTTATCGTATCCACATGTTATTCTAACATTTAACTAACACACGACTGGTATTGTGTTAGGCCGTCTAATCATTAAGTTAGTACATATTTTTTTTTTTTAACAAAACTGTATACTTTAATTGAAAAATGTCATACTTTCAAAACTAACTTTTGATAGTATATTTTATTTATAATATGACAGGTCAACCCGCCTAATCGTTGCTTGTATAAGGCAAAGATTTTTGTTTAATTTAGTGTCCATATGTCAAGAATTTTTAACTCAACTGTATTATTGTTGTGCTAGAAATGTGGTAGTTATGACAGGTACGTACTTGCAAGGACAGCCCCAAATATCCAACCTACTTACAAAGGGTATATTTTCAAGCTATAATTATAAGAATTTAAATGTTATGCGACCAAATAACAAGTCAACCAATCAGAAAATTTCAATAATTTGCTGCTCAGGCATATTCCTGGAAATAACACTCAGTTGATTATTGTGTATTTAAACTATGCATATACCAACAGGAGTTGGCTCAAGTGGTAAGCAGCTTGATGTCGCTTAAGCAAGGTCTTGGGTTCGAGTCATTGTGAATGCAGAAAACTCTTGTCGGGAGACTCACCCACCATTGCCAGGTGTGCGACCCGGATCGGCCAACGAATTAGTCGGAGCAATATTCTGGATACCGTGGCTGGCTAAAAAAAATAAAAATAAAATAAAATATATGCATATCACTAGAACAAATTAATAAACTACACCGTCATTAATCAAATTAATAGGACAACCTAAGATGACATGATTTAATATATCAACGTTAAACACAATAAAACACTATAGAACACGAAAGTGGAAAAAAAAAAAAAAAAAAAAAATCTTAACCAAAACTTATGATGAAGAGTTATAAAACGAATCAAGAAAATTGTAATAGAACTAAAAATATATATCAATCATATACCCACAAAAAAATGATAGCCAACCTTGATCATCATATACATCTACCAAGTTACATAAACCCTAAATCCTAATCCTAACGTACTAACAACACAAAACATTGTGCATAAAAAAGAAAAAAAAAATCAATCAACCCCAAAAAACAAAGTATAAGCTTTCATCATCGTCATCATCGGACTCAGCTAAGTATCCGAATCACTAGTCGAAGCTCCCGACATCATCATATTCTTAAACTCGCCGAAATCCAAAACCCCATCCAAATTCTCGTCGTACGCGCCAATCATGTCCTTACCATCCTTCTTTCCGGTTTTCCGATCCCACAAACCTAATCTCGACAAAACGCTCTCCAACTCCTCGGACGATATGTACCCGTCGCCATTCAAGTCGAAAACCTTAAACGCCTCGAGAAGATCGTTTTCGTGATGACGATCAATATCGTTATAAACTCCTCGTTCGGCCGTTTTGGACTCGACCATTGCCTCGTAGAAGAACAAGAAGTCGATGAAACCGAGGGTATCTCGACCCACGTATTTTTCGAGCTCGTCTAGGGTCGTTCGGATGCCGACGAGCCCCAAGAGGCGGTGGAGCTCTTGAGTGGTGACTTGGCCTTTGTTGTTCTTGTCAAGGTTCTTGAAAATCCTTTGTAGATCATCTGGGCTGATTGGAGGCATGTGAAGGATTTTATTTATTTATTTTTTTTCTTAAAATTATTTTATTATATAAAGAATAATAGAAGATTAAGAAGGAGAAATGAAATTTAAATGCGAAAAAAAAAGTAGTACTTGAGATTTTTATTTGGTTCATGAGTTAGTAAATTGTATGTATATAAAGGGAATGGAGAAAATCATTATTTTGTAAAAGCGTGTGAACCGGTCTAAGGAAGTTTTAATTGATGATGAGAGTCCACTAAGGTCCGAGGAGAAATACTATTTATTTATTTATATATTGGGAAGATTTCGGAGAAGGACAGCCATAGTAAATTATTAATTTATTTATCGTTTTTATCTATCCTAATTTTGTTCTGGAGTAGGGCTGTAAACGAGGTGAGCCGAGCTCGAGCTTAAGGTGTTTGAGCTCGAGCTCGAGCTCTCGGCTCGGCTCGTTAAGTTAGCGAGCCAAAAATCGAGCTCGAGCTCGACTCGTTAAGGCCTCGAGCTCGAGCCTTAACGAGCCGATCTCGAGCTTTAACGAGCCGATCTATAAAAAATTACATAAATTTCACTTTTCGAGTCTTATCGAGCCGAGCTGAGCTCGGCTTGTTAACCAAACGAGCTTTAGATGAGATCGAGCTCGGCTCGTTAAGGCTTCGAACTCGAGCCGAACCGAACCTTAACGAGCTCAAAGCCGAGCCGAGCCAGACTCATTTAATTTAACAGTACTATTCTGGAGTTATCGGATGACACGATTTATAAAATTGTCTATAAATTCGTAAATTGGATTCAGTTTACCAAGAAATTATTAATCTCGTTATTAGTTCTCACTTCTCAGTATTGCTAATCGGTGTCTCTACATGTATTTTGAATAATTACACCTAATGCATAATAATATATATTAATTATATTATTAATTATCCTTCTTTGTACCAATAAAAAAAAGGAGCAATTATATTGATTTGTATACTTTTCGATGGTTTTGTTTTATATTTCTTTTAAACGTACGGGAAAATAAAATCGAATGAACTTTCGTATTATTTTCATTCTTCTTTCTCTTTCATGTCATTAATAGGTATAGGAAAAAAAAAAATATTGTTCAAAAGTAGATATTTATAATTTAGATATTGATTTGAAATATTTTTTTTCAAATTCAAAAAGTTAATTCGAAAAATCTCTATACTTGAGTCTTTTTAAATTACAAAAATCAATTGATTTACTTTATAAAACAACTTATTATTCACTAAATACTCTACATAATCAGCTAACTAAGTCACTTGGGTTGATAATTCAGCAAACTATCTGGATCAGCTAATCATGGCCATACTAAAATCAAACTTAATTAACTCTTTTATTCACATGATAGGTTATTTCATCATTTGATTAAGCAATTAATTAACTATTTTATTTATTTATTTATTTATCACAAGAAGATCACACTTATCTATTTTAAAATTAGTATCTTATTTATTCACAACCAGTGTTTGATTTTTATACTGCGCAGCGTGAATTGCATAAGCTATTTGGGTATAAATTATTTTTATAGAAATATTACAAGTATATTTGCATATAATAAAAATGGATGGTTAGTAACAAAGATTATTATAGTATTTGAATAACTTCAAAAATAACATCTAAGGACTAATTCTCACAAATGTTTAATGTAATATCATCATAATATAAACATTTAATAATAAATCGAATATACTAAAAAGTAAAAACAAACAACGAAAATATAATGAGGTAAGTCACAGTATTAGTATAATTATAAGTATATGCATTTTAATTATTATTATTTTATTTAACTACAACTTAATTCTAAAAATTGGATATGAACTTTTTATTTTTTATTTAAATGTCTAATATCGAAAAATAAAATGATATAACAAAAATGGACCAAAAAATATTGCAATATTCAACTTGGGTTTACATTTTCAAACTTTTAATTTGAAATTATTATCAAATTTTTTTAGTTTTTAATTGTCGATTGTATATATGACTCTGATCCCTAAAAAATAAAAATTTTGAATATTTTATTGTTCAAATGTCATTGCAGAAATATAACGCAATACGGTGCACAGTAGCGTGAAATAGCGCAAAATAGCGTAAGAAAGCGCGTTATTTCAACATTTCATAAGCATTTCGAAAAAAAAATGCTAAATATATAAGACTACGTCACGTTTTTTCAAAAAAACCTATATAGCGAGCAATAACGAGCTATTTAAAACAAACAATGTTCACAACACAACCAATGAAACAGGAATCTATTAAGGCTATGTTTGGTAAAGCTAGCTGATAAGCTAGCTGATAGCTGATATGCTAGCTTATAGCTTATATGTAATTTTTGAGCTTATAGCTTATAGCTTATGACTTATAGCTGAAAAGCTAGCTTATATGATAAAAAGTGTTTGGTAAATTAGCTGATAAGCTATCTAAAATAAAAAATCCAACTAACTTATTTGAAAAGCTACCTAAAGTAGCTTATGAAATAACCTCGAGCTTTTTAAAAAAGCTCGT